TCAAGTTATAATGCAAATAGTCTATTTTGTGAAGAAAAAATTCTCTATCATTTGAGATGTTCTGTACCTCAAACTATTAAACGATAGAGAAGAAAATTTCAAAATACAATCAGGAGTGAAAACGTCCCTTTTTTAAGTATGATTCAAAAATTTGAAATAATGAAGTCCTTGCCATTTGTTTTATAAGTAAACCAGAATAAGCTGATATTTGTAGTATCATAACACCTTTTTACAGGCTGACAAATGACACAATCAAATTCAAAATATAAAAATTTTCCGTCACCGACATGATTGATCTTCTGGTGAACTCTATCTTAAATCATTTGTTCAGCAAATAATTAGTGTTACTGATTATGTTAGTAAGTACTTCAGTATAGATCTCAAACAAACGATTACAACAACTTACTACATGACATTGGAGTTTTATTCAAATGCAAGAGGCGGTACCAAGCTACAAATGTCCGTTATTTAGAAAAACCTGTATCTCATGAAAAAAACAAATAATCGTTTTTGTGATTTATCATGAATCACTTTTTCCTAGCAATATTAACATTTTACTGGAATCAGGCTTCTTGTTCTCGCTGCAAATAGTAAAATTTAGGCTTCGATCAATTAGTTGATGGAAATTTGAAAGAGTTCATAAACTAGCTATTCTTAATTTCATTACTATGAATACTCTAGCAACACCCTTTGAGAGCGCTACTTATAATTCAACAGAAAGTTCTCAGGAAGATTGGAAAAAAACAGTATCAATTCAGTGTCGATACTTTCATATGACGTTTAAACGAACATTTTTTCAGTTTTTGTTCTCGAGATCATCAAGCTCTATTGATAGGAATAAATTGCCGTATCAAGATTGTTTATCATCATGTAAAGTACAAAGATTTGTTAAACGTAATTTTCCTTGTGGTATTGTTTAGTTATTTTGATAAATATGGTTAAGGTAGTGATGATTATCAGTCAATCTGAAGTTTCTTTTAAGAAAACGACTTAATTATGAAATTGTTTTCTTCATGAATCAAACAATTTCGACGAGACAATATGGGTCGATCTTTTCAATCAAGTGATTTCGAATATGATATGTGTAATATATTTTATAAACTATTTTCAGTAATAACGAATTTTATCCAAACAAAACCAAATAAATATTTAGTAATGGAAAATATCCTAGATTCCTTTGAATTTCTCTACTATTTATCGTGGATAGCTCGAAGATACTAGAGAGAAAACAACAATGTAAGTAACATGACAGATAGATTGAGTATTCGGTTAATATCTGTTATTCATGTCGAACAAATATTTAATTGTTATATATTTAAATTTGAAAACGATAAAACAAACAATTATATAAGTTGTTTTGGAATTCTACTCATCTGTTTTCTCAAGAATAATTCAAACAAGATTTTTGGTTGAAATTAACCATATCAAAATTAAAATAGATATATGAAAAAATATAAAAACAACAAATAAAGTTTCTTCTTACTTTGTCTAATAAAGTAAGTACAATGAATTAAGTATTGATTTCTTTAATAAGCATTTCATTTTCTTCGATGAGTATTTAGAATATTTTGGATGAACTCAATTATCAATTTCTTTTTTTCAATTTATCGCAAATGTTGACTAAATATGATAGATTATTTCGATTGGATGTATTATAGATGAAATATCACAAAAAATATATTTTATAAATGAAAAAGTGAAACTTGATTAGCTTGTCTATTTAGTTTCTGTTCATCGTTCGGTTCTGCAGTATTTAGTGTTCTTTCTTTTTTTTATTACGAAAAAAAAATTTTTCTGATTGTTAATCGTCCGTTTTCTTGCAATTATACATAATCAATTAAAACACTTTTTTTTCAATGAAATATATGGAAACAGTTACAGTCATTGATGATTCACTACTGATATTCAGAGAAGTCAGTGATATAGTATCAAAGTATTTCTAAACATTTCTTTTTCTCCGTTTAACAATCATTATATATCATTACTTTAGACCAAGTAGTTTGAAAATAAAGATTATTTCTATTGAAAAGTCTATCATTACAATTAGTTCATTATATATACATATATACGTAAGTCAAATAACATGATGCCTAAAATTATTTAAACATTCAATATATAATTGATCAGTTTTTGTTGATAACTAGAAAAAGAACAATTTCTCTAAGTTCTTCTTTGCAAAACAAATAATATTAATCTGAAACAATTTTATACATACAATAAAATGAATTTTGAAAATGATTTCATCAAACGAAGACAATTTTATCGTTTGATATTCTGAATAAAATCTACGAGTAGATGCTAATCATTTTGCATTATCAATAACAATTTCATATAAACATGTATTTTGCAAATCATATAAATATATATTCTTTAATCACAAATAAAACTTCACCTGCATCGTTCATGCATTTTGATTTACTGGAATATAAAGGATGTTCTAGAAGTTTTGAAACAATTTTAAAATTCATCGTTCTCACATTTAACATAAGCAAACACTTGGAAACTTTGGCAGGTTAGTGTATCTATTTAGTAGTCAATAATTACAAAGTTTCAGATCTATAGTTTTTCCAATCGATGAGATCGGTTGATGTTGATGTGCTTATGCAAGAGCTTCTAGATGTTTATTGACTTTTCTTCAGTATTTGTATAAATAGTCATTTATTGTTTATCCTTTTATTGATATGTAAATTATAAAATTATCTGACAAATTGAGGCTATATGTTATGTGTAGTTCTAAGCAATAGACTAATTCAATCAGTCTGTGTTGTACCGCGGCATAAAAAACCCAACATGAAAAGAGTTAGATTGAATGCAGCAAAGAACAAGTTCCTGATTAGCTGAATTGGAGGAATGGCTATTTTGTTAAAAAGAATCCGATGCGTGTGATAGATTCTTATTTTTTTTTCAAGCAATTTAGTATATTAATCTCCTATCAGGCTTTTGTCGTTGTATCAACTCCTAAATCCTTCCAACGTTTAACAAAAGTAATTTTTTCTCTTTTGTGTTTCAATCAAGGATACAATGGTGCTACAACACCATGTAAATGCAAAGCTTTAGTCGTATTAACATCTACTAGTAGTAAGTTATCATCTACGCATCTATCTAATATACTGAATGCCATTTCAGCCTACCTTTCTAGTCCGATAATGGTTTTGAAGAAGCGATTCTCAAGAGATCCATATATGACGATGGTTAAGTCTTCAGCAAAAAGATGATATACTAGGTTCATAAAAAAGGAAGGAAAAAAAATGAATATATAGCCAAAACCGTGTAGCTCTCATGACTTAACCTTGAGAAGCAGAAACAAATACATTAGTCGGATATGAAACTGCTTCTCTAACGTGAATTAACGTTGTTCTCCCTTTCAACCAAGAAGAAGTTCATTGTAGAAGCGGTAATAATTAGAAAATCTATTTTAACAAGTAGTTACGTTAGAGTAAGAGTGTCACATCTTATCAAACGCTCATATCAAGTCAGTGAGTATTACTAGAGCTGATTTATTGTTGCCTGTGGTTCTTAGCCTTAGATCTTCTACTAAAAACAACATATGTATGAAATCTTCTTTCTGAGGTAAAGCTGGACTATATGTGTATACAAATCCCTTTATCATCATACCATTTAAGCATACACGTACATATTATTCTGTTCTAACATTTTTCAAAATTAGATAGAATAGGAATCGATCTAAATTTATTTACTTCTAGGTATAATCCATCTTTTGATAGACAAAATACTACAGCATGTTTACTGTTCTGAAGAATACTATCTTTTTTCGTAGTATGGTTATATGATAGAGTAATAATTTGCAAGTATTCAGTTAGAAAGTGATATAATAAAAAGAATGAACAACTCTCGATAATCTACGGATTTTTTTGTTGCATGTTTACAGGTTTTTTTTCAACTTCTTATAATCAGATATCTTCAATTAGAATATTCAATAGTTGAAAGTTAGTTTCATATCTACTAGAATCAAACAATAGGCTTTCAAAATGTTTTCTATAAAAATATGCAAGAGTATCGTCATTGGTGAAATACTACTGTGCATTGATTTCCTAGAAAAAAAATTTCATCGATCACTTATCAGATATCAAATTACAACATTTCATGTATTAATCATTGTTCATCATATGAAATATTCGATTCAGTTACAATGAATATGTTATCAATAATAATTTAAATTTCTCTTATTCAACTGATTAATTACCAAGGATTATTGAAACATGATAAGAGAACAAAAACACACACAAAAAAAGCAACAACAAATCCTTCATATTCAATCCTATAAAGCTTCAATATGTTTTAAAAAGAACATAAAACGTATCATGTTACTAACAAACTAAATTATTCGAAAGAAATAACAAAAAAACACGACAATGATTAACAAAAAAAAAAAAAAGAGTACAATATACATGACATTTTAAGTGATTATATATGGTTGTCTAGTTGAATATATAGAAACTATTGGTATTATTATTGTTCGTAACCTTTACTTAATCAATGTTGAAGCTTAACAAAGTAAACTATACTTATAAAAAACGGTGATTATATATATATATATATATTTAGCTATATAGTCCTATAAAGAATGACATTAAAAACATATTTCTATTCTTAATTATCTTGTCTAATACTACAAGCAATATATTTCATTGCTTGAACATTCATATATTATTACTTTTCGTTATTTGTCAATCAAATATCAAAAAAAACAAAAAAAAAAAAAGAGTTCATAAACACTTATCAAAACAAAAAAAAAAAAAAAAAAAAGAAAACGACAATATTAAAAAAAATAAAAATTTAATACAATCAAATAATCATTCATTTTCAAACATACGTAGGTTTCATATTTGATATATAATGTTACAATTTATAAAATATGTATCACACATTGAAACAAATACACAAATATTGACATATCTTTTTGTAAAGTATTAAAGTAAACTGCTATAATATGGAATCATATTAAAAAAAAAAAAAACAAAATCCTGAGAAAAATGGCTTTAATATTCAAATGCTTGTTGTTGTGTGATATCATTTTTTGATAAATAATCAGCATGAGGACGATCCATTTCACATCGTTGTGTTATAGAAATATTTGACTCAATTATAGATGAAGAAGTTCGTTCATGATTAGATGGACATATTTCATTTTCATGAATAATAGTTTGAAATTCTCTTGGAATTTCCCATTCAATATTATTTAAATGATTAACATTAGCAAATTTCATTCTATAATTTGTTGAGAATGGTAAATTTGATGAAAAAATTTGTTCATTTGAAATTTTTTTTTCAATTGAATTTTCTAATGATTCATCAGAATTTGATGATATAGAACTAGTTTTTCTTTGTATATATGAATTTGAAAGAAAATCATTTGGTGGTGTTAAACTTGTAGTACTTTTAAGAATAGATTTTGGTACAATATTTGAATATTTAATACCATAAAATTCAGTTGATGTATCAATTCGATGTACTTGTGGATGTATTATTTCTGAACGTCGAACAGATTGAAATCGATAATTTTCTAATTGATTATTATGTTCATCAACATTATCATTGACATAATCATTATGATATTGTTGAAAATTTGTAATAATTGGACGAGGAAGTGGAGCATGTCTATAAGTATAATTATCTATTGAATAAGAATTAATTTCATAATCAGTTGATGATAATTGTGCTGTATTTATTATAGGTAATTGTAAATCAAAACAATTTTGAGATGTTGATGATGATGATGATGATGATGTTAATGATGATGATACTTGTGGAATTTTTTTATCTTCATCATAAGGATAAAAAGCAGCATTTTGTATACCTTTATTATATGATATAATAGGATTTTGACCTCGAATAGTACCAACAAGTGCTAATTCATCAGCATGTGGTGGACGAAGAATAATTGATGGAAATTTTGTTTGTCTATTATTATTAATATCTTGTAAATATTCATATTCTTCACGCTAAAATATAATTAATTAAATATTTATATAAAAAAATATATATATATATATATTTTATTTTTTACTTTAACATAAAATTTTTTTGGTCTAATACGATTATAATAACATCGAAATAAACAAATAAGAATTAAAAGTTCAAATATTAAAATGGAACATATTGCCCATAATGATAAACTTGTTTCTAATTCGTTCATCGTCTATTGACGAAATGATAAATAAATAATCCCTATAATAAATAGTGAATTTATATATATATATTGTTTTTTTTAATAAGAACAAAAACAGACACGAATTGTCTTATTGAAATAATGAAAAGAAGCAAGAGATTATCAATGATGTAATTTATTTTTTAATAATTAAAATTTCATATTTGATTGATCGAATTTCTTCTATATATTTATCATAAATATGACTAATCCTACTTGTATAGACGCATTGTATTCTATTTTTTTTTGTCTATGACCATTTCGATCAAATTTCAATAGTATAGAAAAGAGGCGTATACAAATTATTTGAATACCTTTTCGGAATATATTCAAAAGAATGAACACGACCAAAGAGAGTCAATCTTTATTTTAGAATCGTTCTAGCACGAAGAAAAAAAAAAAACGAAAGACATTATTTTAAATGTTTTTCTTTTTGATATACAACATAAATGCATTGCCCCCTTTGTTCTATTTATACTGTTCATATCGAATGGATGACTGCAATCATTTTTTTTTTCGTCCTCTCAGTTTTTAGTTACATTGTTTTTTTTTTGACTGCACTTAGTGCATATGTGATATTGTTGTTTGATTACTTACTGAGAGCTATTATTTTTATATATATCTTCTTTTGTGGATAAAATACAAGACAAACGAAGAAATCGTAGAAGTATTAAAAGGAGACAAAGAAAAAGAAGAAAAAAAAACCGACTGTTTTTACTTGTGCTCTTTGTTCTTCTGTACTTTTAATCTATGTTCTAACTGGCATTAAATCATCTTTTTCTTTGCTCACCTAAGTAGTACTATTAAGTATATAGGAAATAAACTTCAATAGGAACTGTCGAAAAAGAAAAAAAAAAAAAAAGAAAGAAGGACAAATTTTTTGTTTGCTCTTTATATTCAAAATTATAACAACGATATTTCGTGTTCATTTCGTTGTATACTTTTCAAATACTCACATGAACTGAATGTATTATCAAACGATCCATTGAAAATGATAAGAAATCAATTGAAATAAGATAAATTTGTATATCATACTAAAGTAAACTGACATTGTTCTATGTTGTTGATTGATAGATACAGATTCTTTGCTTAGAACCACTGTGAAGTGTTAACACATATCTAGCAAGAGTACATCAACTACAAATATGAATAAAAGAGAGGCACATCGATAGACGAATAAAAGAGCTGAGTGAAAGGGGAGAGAGAAAAAAAAATGTACAAGACTGTAAGCGCTGCGATTTATTCGTTGTTCTTTTCGAATACATGCATATGCACCCATATATATATATATAGCTCAATACTAAAGTTCAGATTTTAGAACGGTGAATGAGACAGCCAACTGAACAGCTCTAGAAAAGAGCGTCAACATCGATTGAATGAATCATTTTTTTTCAATTATCAGCAAGAGTATAGGAAGAGATGTTAAGAGACAATCACAAAAAAAATTGAGTTTAAGATTGTGACGAAAAATCCAATTTTTCTACAATGAATTTGTCAAAATAACATGTTCTTTATTCGTACATATATAAGTACTCTTAAATTAAAGACACACTAGGTTGTCATATTTTTAGTCTTAAGTTAAATAATGATATTAAGTTGTTACGTTGTATAGAATTGATGCTGGTATGATTTTATCTCGCTCATTTTTATTTGATTCTTAATATTGGAGTAAGTACTATTTAATCGAAAGAAAAAGAAAAACGAAAGAAATTTTCGTTCACATTGAATCTTGAAGGTCATTTATTAGTTCCATTGATTTAATGTATGTGTTCTGAACCAATACTAATTTTATTAGGTGTTACTTCAGATGAATTTCAATTGAATTGTTTATTTTACAAATTCGATTCAACCATTGATGTCTCTTATTGTTACTAAGATTGTCCGTCTGTCTGTCTACTAGTTATGCTCTTGAAAATGAGACATGAAGAAATATATTTCATTCTCCTACTCCACACCTCTCCGCCGTCTCAAAAAATACAAAAAAAAAAAAAGAATTAACGTCTTATCAATCGATCTCACCCTATATATATAGTCCAATACATACCTGTGTTGTAATTTGAGAAAGACATAAAGAATAAAAGCACATATGCACTAAGTCAAACACTTCCTTCTTCATTCAATTGAATAGATTTAACAAAAAAAAAGAGAAAAAATAGCATTAACATTTCAACAAGTTTGATGATCATATATCTCTTGTTTGCATACAAATTGATATTCATTTATATATGAATAAGAATGTCTATGTTTATTTATATGGAAACAACAAAAAAAAAAGAAAAGAAAACTTGAATGAATTTAAGTTTAATAAACGAGCCTAATATGTGTCATAGATAAGAAAATATTGAACGTTGTTGTGCAAGACTTTAAATCATACAATTAATCAATGTTGTACTTGTTTTATGTACATAATAAATCATTGAATTTAATGTTATATAATAATCTTCATCCCGAAAAGTAAAATAGATACATATCAAATATTAAATGCTTCTCTTCTTTACTCTTTTTGTCTAACTACCCTATTGTATTGATCTTTGTAGAGAATTGAAAATAAGTATGATATATTTAGATACTCAGATTAAGCTCTCATATATTGTAAGATTTTGTGGAATCTTATATGTCACTTTTAAAGTCACATTTTCTGATAAAGTTGTACTATATGATTCATATATTAATTTCCATACCTGATTTGCTTTTATTTTTTTTACTTAAGAAAGTCTTTTTTACTCGCATATGGATATTGATTTTTGTAAAAAGTACAAACAAACAAATGAAAACATAAATATATCAATAAAAAAACATGTTAAATTTTGATTTTTTTTTTGCTAACATACCTTCGAAGTATTCTCTAAAAAAATTCGTACTACGATTATTCTCTGTATGCGAAAATCTTCTATTCATAATATAATTCTTTCTCATCTTTAAGGTGCTAAGAGCATAGCTCATGAATTTCTTTGACCACTGAACACGGTTGGTTTTCGATCACTTTAGTTAAAGAAAAAAAGTTCTTGTTTTTTTACAGATACTTGTCATTGTTTGGATTTTCTACTTCTTTTTTATTTTGATAAATATTGTACTGTTAGTTTTGAAAGATTTTACAAAGAAAGATGTAGTAAAAAAAAAACATGTGTTTTTATAGGTGCACTCGGTCTCTTTTGATCTTTTCATGGGAATGGAAGTTGATAAACAGAAACCAAAAAAAAGTAGACATCAAGAGCAGTGTCGAGTGTTTACAAAAGAAAATATGAAACGAGCATATGATGTTTATAGATTCTTCTAGTATTTCATGCATAAATCAAACCTTTATACTTGAAAAAAAAAATTTGAAAAAGAATAGATCTCTACCTTGCAACCATTTGCCCATACTCACCTCCAGTGATCTGAAAGTGAAAAACATTTTTTCTATTCATAAAGGATTTATTTATCATAGTTCATCAGTGATGTTGTATTGATTATTGATATATGAACATTTTTAATAGCATCGTTCAGTATTGTTAATGTAGAGTTCGATAGTGTGCAAGTTTTGATAAAGTTTCACATTGGCACTCATTCGTTTTGTGATATAGAGTTAAACATACTGGAATATCTTATAGTTAAGAAATAACTTGGTCTTAAAAAAAAAGAAATCTTTTTTTAAGTATGAAGTAAGCAACAATGAAAACTATTGTTTCTTAGAAAATCGAATTAAGTTTATCTTAAAAGAACTTTTGAACAAAGTAAAATTTGAGGAAAACTTGATTTGTTATATACCATTCGACTGATTGCAAGCTGTTCTACAAAACCGCATATATGGTATTCTTGCTCAAGAAATGGTCAACCCATCTGACTAGGTTCTTTTAATTATTACTTTTGAAAGTTCTATTTATACTTAACGCTAGTTACTTATCCAAAGACAAATAATAACGAGGGGCTAAGTCTTTAGTCTACTTATGCTACTATCTGATGCAAAAGAATAACTTTGATACATTTATAATAGATATCGGTAAGATGGTTTCAGTTTCTACAGAATCGGAATAGGAACCAAAATGAATGGTACCGCTCATGAATAATTGATAATATAATCTATATTATGCTTTCAGTTAATCAACAGTAGCGCTATTAAACGATTGGTTTTATAAATATAAATCACAACAATGACGTTGATTATTTATTGTAAGCCTTTTTAAAGGTAGTATCTGTCCCATGATGAAAACAAAAGGGAGGACAAAGTTGTTTTTGTTCGAAGTTCTTAATTAATTTATATATTTAAATCGATCCTTCTTACTCTAAAGAAATTTATATTTTAGATTGCTGTATTGAAAAAAACAAAAGTGTTTGATTGAAGTAATTCAGACATGTCACTTACTCCTTTAATAATGGTATTATTTATAAGCGGTCCATTAGTTTTATGTAAAAAACAAGATGCAGTGTGTGTTGAACCTATAGACGGTGTTGCAGCTTATCCATGTGAAAGTCGTCCTAGCAGAGAACCACTTAGTTTACAATATAGCAAAGCTCAAAGTTAGTTTATTATTTTTTTATGTTAATTTTTTAATTATTACATTCATATTTATTCAGTTAGTAAACCAGCACCAACATTTGAAGGTTTAGCTGTGATCAATGGCGAATTTAAAGAGATTAGTTTAAATGATTTTAAAGATAAATATCTTGTACTTCTTTTCTATCCATTAGATTTGTAAGCATAATTCATTCGTCGAAACTTTTTCTAATATGTTTTGTTTTTCTTTTTTGCTTATTCAAGTACATTTGTGTGTCCAACAGAAATTATTGCTTTCTCCGATCGCATTCAAGAATTTAGAAATATAAACACTGAAGGTATATTTGTTTATTTTTTAATTCAAAAATTTCTATGTGAGCTTTTTAGTTGTTGCCATTTCTGTTGATTCACAATTCACTCATTTAGGTATAATGTATTATTTATTGTTTTGAAATTTAAAAAAGAAAATAATTGTTTTTTGTTTTGCTTAGCATGGATCAATACACCTCGTGAA